GACATAGTGTGGTGGTCTACACATTTAAACTCATTGGGTGCCTTTATTCCTATCCCTGTACTGTATTATCTATTGAGTAAACATGACATCAGATTGTGTGCACGTACTGTTACTTTCCGTACAAATAACTATGTAGATCATAGTTGGTCTATGGACATTTATATAACAAAGAAAAGGAAACTTTCTTTTAATGCTTCCATTTTGTTTGACAGAGACAGATTTCGGACAATGATCAATGTCCTGGGGGATGCTCTTGCTGCTGGAATAATGGCACACATTTGCAGAAGAGAATTCACCACAGATGGATCTGAGGTAGGAGAAAACAGATGAGATACTTTGAGGCATTACTTAACAAACCAGAGATAATTAGGTCTTTCTTTGAGAGACAGTCTATGTAACAGTGTGTACTACCTATAATTTTGTATGCTAAAATTAAACATAATTATAGAAAAAGAAAAGAAGGGAAAAGTGTTCTGGAATAATCAAGGGTAGTGATAATTTGAACTCCTTGTTCTATTCATAGGTGCCTTTGATCAGTGAAACAAAACCAATTAGCATCCACAAGATTATTGCTTATCAGAAAAATGGCTGTGTGAAGTCGATGAGTAAGATGTGTGGACCTGAACCAGTCAAAACAATACTGCATCACTTACCTATTCAGGTGGAACAAGAAGAAAATCATTCAGAAAGTTATACAGAGAAATACAGCAATAAAGACCACTGTACTATTGAAATCAATGAATTGGAAACAAATGTGTAACTGATAGTTACTCCTGAAGGTATCTGAAAACAAAAGAATATCCTGTAAGTGGAGTTGGGACATCGTCTGCTGCTTGAATGGGAAGACGTGCAATGACTGCCATGTGTGAACTGAGGTTATAAGATAACTGTGGACACCTGTGAAGACAGAAGGCTTCATGGAAGATGGGTTCCATTGGTTAGTTGGGTTAGTAAAAAGGAATTAATCACTGGACACATTTGGTTTACTTCGGGCAAACAGATATGATGAACTTTTTAAGAAGAAACCCTCTGACCTATTAAAATTGACTTCTACTAAATCACCCTTCCTCTGTCTTAATGAATATACCATAATTTCATTAATATTCTGTCCTCAGTTGAAAAATGTATTACTAGCTAACATTTGATTAAGGATAAACTGTGGGTGGTATCAAGTCATGGTTGCTGATCCTGAGTTATATTAATAAAGTGTTGTTATTGATCTCCTGATTTGGACATACTGTACAGTAATAATAAGCAGTGGTTAGTTTAAAATGAAAATGGTTGGTTCTGATCTCCTACAGCTGCACAGATGAAAGGAGAGAGAGCAGTACATGAACTCAGTGGCCCTGTGATGTCACTAAACTATGGTTTGGTGGTACATGCTACCTGGACCGAAACTGTTGTGTAACAAATCCTTGATTGCAACTTCATTCTGCTCTATTCAGTGTTCTGTGTGAATATTTGTTTTCTGGTTGCAGTCTAAAGTGATGGTTTTAATTTATAAAGCCCTATATGGCTTGACATCTAGGTACCTTTGGGACTGCCTCTTCCAACCAAGGTGAGACCTGTCTGAGGTCACTCTCCAGGGAGAAACTGTTAGTACTGTTTCCCCCCCCCCCCGCTCCACATATACACACACTTTGGGAGGTGAGGAGAACTGAGGCTCAAAAGTGTTGTTTTTCTATGATGGCCCCAATCATCTGGAATGGCCTTTCGATGGCAAGATTGGCTCCATCAATAATAGCTTTCTGGAAGCTAGTTAAAACTGAGTTATACTGGTGAACTTTGGGTGAATTGTAATATCATTGGGGCTGTGTTATGTGATTTTAATTTTAATGTAACTTAATTTTACTTTAAGTTACCATGGATGTTTTAGTGTTGCATTTTATAATCGTTATGAATCCTCCAAGAGTCACTTGATGTGGCAGTATATAAATTAAAGGAATGAATAAATGAATAAATGAATAAATAAATAATATCATTTGTGTATCCATGACCACATGGATTTCAAGTAGTCAATTTTTAATAGTAATTTAGATGGTCTTTTGACTGTGACTGTGGTAGCAACTATATAATGATAATGTATAGAAATACCAGTGTATATTAAGGATTCTCAGAGCCCTTTAATTTTTACTTGTTATTATTTGGAGAGATAAATTGCAACCAATACTGTTTATTACATATTATTTTGTAAGGTTTACAATGTATATATTATCATACTGTATTTTTGAACTAAGTAAGATTTTAAGTATTTTGTTTAATGGGGAGTTGTGGTAGAGAAGGGAGTCTTATTTTTAAGGTCCCTAAAAATAAAATATTAAGCCACATTCTAAAAGGCACTCTAAAACGTGATTCCCCATCACGTTTGCCTTCTAAGTGCCAGATGCATCCTTACTTTTCCTCCCTCCTTCCTGTCTTTCTTCCACATCCAACCCTGTAAGAATTAGTATGCATAGTATCTAAATCAGTGTTTTTCAACCTTGGCAACTTCAAGATGTACAGGTATGGGATTCTGGCTGGCTGGGGAATTCTGGGAGTTGAAGTCCACACATCTTAATGTTGCCAAGGTTGAAAAACACTGGTCTAAATTATAACAAACCCAAACCAAAAGAACTGGTGCTAAAAAAAGAGTACATAATGTTCTGTCATTCATGTAGCCTCTGTGTATGATAGTTATGGCCCAAATCCTTGTGTTATGAGAGCAGACTAAACATAGGCTAGAATCCAGCATACACAATTGTGACAACAATTTCATTGCAATGATATATTCAGATTTGTAATGTTCTTATGATTGCTGTCTGTAAATGCAAATTACTGATCATGCTTCTCCCCACCCCACACATACATGCTATATAAGGAATCTTGGGTTGACTTTCTTCAGATCCAGTCCAAATGCCCAACTCTACAGTCTTGTGCTTTTAATTTGGGAATGAAGCAGTTTGAGGCAAGTTTGAGATGGGAAGCAGAGCTGTGGCTTTTGAATTGCTGTGCCAATCTTACACCCTATTAGATGGAAAGGGGCTAGAGGGAATCAGGGTTTTTTAGCTTTAATACTTGTGCAGAAGTTTGAATTTCTTCTGTGCTTACTGTCATGATGATTCAGTAACAGAAATGTTGGATTGGACCCCCCATGACCCATGAGAGACTAAAAAGATAATGTTGAGGACTCTCTCAGCTACAGAAGCTCATCTACTGAAGATGGACCAAATATTGTCATTCATGACACAAAAATATTGTGATAATAAATAGAGGAATAAGCTGTTTGCCACCAGTGTTGTTTGCAAAGAAAAATAAAATAGCATGCACTAAGTTTAGATTTTGGCAGCCATAGCTTATTCCTCCTTATGATGAGATATATCTGCCAACTTTTTAAACTTATTTCTTACATTTTTTAAAGCATGCTTTTCCTTTGGCAGAAATGTCCAAAGCAAAGAAGCTTCTTTCTTCTACCTTTGGACTGTGTAGATGCAACATAGATAGCTTCATGGAATCATCAGCAGTGGCCTTCACCAGGTTGACAGTGGCAGTGGGCTGGATTCTGGGGCTGTATATCTGAGGCAAACTTCCAGAGACATTGTGATTGTGTGCTCTGTTCAAGGAAATCTGGCTCCTTCTGCAGCTGGAAGCAATTCTTTTTTTTAATGCCTGTCATGGGAGAAAGCTTTCTGTTAAATTTTGGCTTACAAGTCCTTGTGTGACCTCTTCCACTCTCTCTTCTTCAACACTCTCTCTTTTATATCTTGAATGTTTATTTCCACTGATCATTTATTATTCTTGTGATTATTTTACCCTGCCTTATTCCTTATATGAGAGAAAAAGAAATTTGATATTATCTAGTTTGGTGAGAAAGAGAGATGGGGCCATTTGGGAGGAAAAATGTTTATGAACTAAGCGTAAGGTTTTATTTTTATGGGAATTTGCTCATTCTCTTTCTTTTACTCTCCCTTCCTCTCTTGTATCCTTACATTATAAAATAGCTTCTATGTTAGTGATCCCAAGTGAACCACATATTTATTAAAATTGCTTCCAGCAAAAAATGTTTTTAATAAAACATGTCATTGTGAAAAAAAGGTCTATGTATTACTAGACTGAAATTATTTCTTTTTTAAAAAATTAACATATATTTAGTGAATTTCTATTTTAGTATAAAAGGTAAAATCTCCTTTGAATTGACCTCACTTCTGGTGAATTAATGAACACATCCATGTAGTTTTCTTGGCAAAAATATGGAAGGATTATATTTTGTGGGGATTATATTTTGAGACGATTATCTCCTCCTAAGGTATAAAGTTCTTTTAATAGATATTTTGGGGATTCAGAATTCAAATCTACATTTGAATGTGAACATTTTCACTGTAAAATTTAATTTTGAATGCTTTTGACATTTTCTCTTTAAAATTTTAATTTTGAATGCATCTCTCAGCTGTAAAGTCTGGTAATCTGACAAATACAGGACCACTTTCTACATTTGTGCCATATGCAGTATGGCATTACATATGAGAAAATGCTTTCTAATTAGAACCATCACATTCCAACAGTTATAAATAGCCAAATATTGAATACCACTGCTTATTGCCAATCAAGTGAAGTCAACTATTATACATCAAATGTTTTACAGATATTGTTTTCCAGATTCTTCTCCAAAGTTCCTCATTGAGAAAATAATAAACAATGACCTAATGCAATATTATCTGTATGTACTGATTTTCCACTTGAATGTTAAAGTAGTAAAGGAATGTTGGGTGCATTTGAAGCCATGCTGTCAATTTGTCTCCATGTAAACAGTGCTTCCGGAACATTATTCAGACTGTTCTAGAATAAGAAAGTTCTTTCACTCACAATCTGACACAGCAAATGTATTGAGGGTAGAGAATTTGAAACAGAGACCCCAAAAAATCTGTGAATTTAATTTCCCAGCTAGGAATACTGTATGGCTCCATTTTCATTTTCCTACAATAGTTGTTGCAAATGTTCATTATGAAAATAATATGTGCTTACAATAACTGTAAGTTCTCTCCAGGAGAGAACAGACAAAATTCAGATGGCAAAAAACAAATCATCTGCAGTTCAGAAAAGCTGTCTGTATAGGATATACTGTACTTTTGTGTGGAAATGAAATTGTTTTGGGTATGTTTTGTTTGCATTGTCCCCTTGAAAAAACATTAACATTTTCTAAAGTCATTCCTAGAGCACGAGGAAGAAAAAACAATTCCTAGACCACAAGGCAGATTAACAGATGAAGGGAGAACTTGCTATGAACTTTCATTAAATAACTCAGATTAATTAAAGATTAAGGATAATATTAATGAGGAAATTTTGGAACGCAGCATTACTTTCATCATTCAAGTTCATATTAACATAATATAAATGCTGAAACTCCTTTCTATGTGCGTCTAGAGAACTTCCAAAGCACTGGGATTGGTTGCAAACTCTTTTCATTTTGCTTCCTTTTCAATGACAGATGTATTGGGAGAAAGCGAATGTGTGCATTCTGCTCAAGGAATATTCATCTTGAAAATTTATTTTAATTCTCTTCATTTTTATTTTTAACTTTCTGGGAGCAGGACTATGCAGACTGAAGATTCATGTGTCTTGATGGCTGCAAACCTTAGAAATACCAGGCAAGGTGTTTGCAAAACCAAACAGGAGAATTAAATTCTCCAGTTACAGACTGAAAGTTACGTGTTCCTCAGTCTGAATTCCAGGCTTCCCTTTGCCTTGCTAATACCATGCAAAGTTAGAGTGTGGACAGAGAAGCACTGGAGTTCTTGGGCATTCGGGAATGCTGGTTAGCATCAAAGAATGCACCCTCCCTTGGACAGAGCAAAACAGCTGTTATTGTTGTGCAGGTGGGGACTGGAGTCATACTAGGCAACTGTTCCTTTGCCCTCTCATTTGTCATGTAGCTTGACTCCCAGCTTTAAGCCCTGACATCTGATTGTCCTGCCCGGTGAAAATAGTGTATTGAATAGCTATGGGTATTGGAAACATACCCTTGTATCTAGGTCCATCCAGCGCTAGAACAATCACTGTCCTCCCCCATTTTTTTTTCTGTAGGATTTGGGGATTTTTGAGATTAATTGTGGGGAGGGAGTATGGAGGAAAAAAGGTAGAGAAAGTTCCATTGTATAAGCGAACATCTGCCTGTGCAACTTGAGATATTCCCATAGACTATGTCCTAAATCCCACTCCTCAATACCTGAGAGTTCACACTATGCTATTGCTTACATTCTTCCTTGTCCTTTGAAAACACATACAAAGGTTTTATTCTTAAAATTGAGAACATTGACTTGGAGGTGAAACCATGTTCTATTCCAGTTTTCAAACATCCAGGAGAACAGTATATTTTTCTTTGTTTTTCCATTTGAAAATTGGTCTAGCAGTTAAACTAAAATTTTTGACCAGATTTTTGGCTAGAACATGTTTTTTAACACATATTCTGAAATTTCAAGAGCAAAGGACTGGCAAAAGCTGAACTAGAATACTAGACTAAGAGAAGACTGACTCATTCAAATTGCAATTGAATGATGAAGTTCTGCAGGTGTTCAGTCACCATCTCTCATCTAATATTTATATTTGTAGATTAATCCAAATCCTCCTCCATCATCATCACACTTTTCCTTCAGGTGTTGATTGTTCTCCTTCCCTCCTCCAATTTTACTAAAACACTCCTGTGAGTAGGTTGATCAAGGAAATAATAACCATCATGTTTTTTAAAGTTGTTTTTAAGTAGCACTGCATCAGCTGTCTTTTTTTGGTCATATTTTCATATCCAGTGGAGTCACAGAGTAACACAGAGTAACATATTGTATGCTATGATGAATTGCTTGAATTAAGACTCAGGACAATATTTGCCTAATAAAGTGAGGTTATCATTAGGTGCTCTAGGTCAATAACTGCAGTATGTTACATTTTTGTAAAACTGATAGCAAAGAGTTGCCCAAGAATCAAGAAAAAGATTGCATCCATTCATAATTAAGGCCAAGCTCAGTTCTGTTAGCCCAAAACTTGGAAAAATAATTAATCTTAGCAACACAACTTCTTACCAAGATAACTGGATATTGTCTTTCACTTCATATAGATCCAAAGGGGATACATACTGTGAATTATTAAAATTTCAAAACTGCATTTTATAAATACGTTTTGAAATGTCCTTATTAAAAAAAAGTTCATCTGTAATATTGAACAATAATGTTATAAGAACCATAACATTTTTACAGAGCACTTCAAAAATTAAGTGAATATTCAGATAAACAACATTTCCACCCATCTGTTTAATGGTTTTAAACATCCAGACTGTAATTTGTGCATAAGGAGCTTTAATGGAGCCCTTCTGTGCAGCTGAAATGGTATCTTGCACAACTGGAATATTTTCATATATGAATGCATTTCCTGATAATCAAATATATTCATCTGGAGATTTTACATCAGGATGACCACTGAAGAATATGTGAAATAAATGTGTCCTTTTTCTTATAAAAATCATAGTAATCACACTGGCTGTGGGGAAAAAAATCATAGAATATTTTTATTAGGACAAGTAAGTTTTACAAAATTAAGAAAAATTGGGGAAGGGTAAATGCGGCTAATCTTGGAGACTTTGATTTCTGTTTCCTTGTTCAACTCCTCAAATTGTAGCCAGCATATCTGATTAATTTTGCTTGCTGGAAACCAGCAGACTAGCCTAGTGCATCATGTCCTCTACTGCTTTCATCACTGTCCATTATCCTTCTTATTATTGCAGAGTTGAGACACATTGAATACCATTCACCAGATATAATGAGCAAGCAGGTGCTATTGTCACCATGCCTTGTTTGACCTTTAGTAATTTAGTTGGCCATCAATGCAAGATAAAGCTGGACTAGGTAAGCTTTTGGTCTAAATCAGCAGGATTTATTTATTTATTTAGCGACCCATCTCACACAAAGTGACTCTGGGCGGCGCACAACAATTGAATAAAATAACATTTTTTTCTTCTTACGGGCCTTAGGGAAAAAAAAAGACATTTTCTGCTCATAGAAAGTAGAGTAATAGAGACCTTTACTCAAACTAGCTTCCATGGAGGACATTCAATTTCTCCATCTGATATCACAGTGTTTTCCCCCCAACATTTAAACAAAACAGGAGAAAAGCCATATTCCTAGAAGACTTCTTTTAATCCATTTGTAATATATAGATTATTTTTTACTAATAATAGCAGAGCAGCGTTGTCAGCATATACACATTCTGGAAATTCGCCATTCCAAGCTTTACATAGGAGGCACTGTAAGAATATCACTTTTGAACTCCCTGATAACAACAGATATAGGAATATTGAATTATGCATTCTGGGTCTTAAGTATCCAATTGCAGGTGCTGACGATCTTTGGGTTGTTTCACACTGTATGGTCCTGATGGAGGAGAAGCAAGATTGATACAAAAGTCTGGTTATTTTAGATGATGTTTTGATTTGGATAAAGCCAACTGAACAGAGACAAATTATTTTATTGAATTGTAATATTCCTATACAATTGTGTCTGTCTCTCCACGCCTACTTCAGTTTTTTAGAAATAGTTGGCTGGAATCTTACCACTGGATGTAATTTTAATATGTGATGCATATAACTTAGTAGTTACAAATCTGGCAAAGTGAATTGCAACTTTTAAATAATGCATTAGTGATAAAACAGCTCTCTGAAAAATATTGCTTTGGCACCATTATTTTACAAGATTTCAAGAGGACATTTTGCTGCTGGAAAATATCAAGCTGTCCCAACAAATTATTACAATGTACAGTAAATATTAAAAATATGTGATTTCCCCATAACAGAAGCTCTTGCTTTTGTAAAAGCTGTCTAAATTACTTTCTCTTCCCAGTTCCTGTCCTTGGTGGAATAACAGCTGGATGTGTATTGTGCAATAATGCAATTGTTTGGAGAGGCCCAGTATGGGAAGGATGTAAATGGCCACTGTGATGTCAAGATTTCTTGGCAAGTTTGGTTGGCATAGATATTTATCAGGTGTTTTCCCTACTGACCTATAGTTAGAACCTAGATTGTAACTGCTCCATTTCTGCCAGGTTCTTTGCTAGGCCTCAGCAAAAGCACAACTATTCCCCTAATAAGAGGAGTGCGCAGTGAAAAGTTGTTCAGGAATAAGAGGAACTTAATAAAAAGCTATCCAAAGAAAGAGCAGGAACTTCAAGTAAAGTTATGAGTGATTAAAAGGAACAACTGCCAAATGTAAAAACTGGATTTCCACATAGCTGTAGCCAGAGAACTACTGTAAGGTGGCTTCAGAAAGTCTGCAGGTAAGAAAAAACAATCCAATAGGACTGGCAAAGTGTTGCTGATAGAATGGCCAGCTAGCCTACCTCGTAGCATCCTAGGTTTCATGAGGCCAAAAGTCCAGTCTCAAGAACCACAAGAAAAGAGAAGAAGGACCTTAAACATAACATTTTTCCCTCTGTAGTAAGCTATACATTAGCACAGCAGAGGCAACTGTTTGGAAACGAGACATGCTTAACACGTGGGGGATGACCCAAAGTGAGGAAGCAACCTTGTACTGTGTATGTAGGATTTTAGACCAAGTCCCCCCCCCCCCCCTGCTATTTTAAAGAACTGTATTAAGCTTAATACCGGCAGTACAAAAAAGCAGGATTCTGAAATAACAAGCCACTCTGGAGCTCTGGGTGCCATAATCTTGCATTAGCATATGAAAATTTAGAAAAATCTGTGCTTTCTTTTTTAGTAACACATTACATCTTCTTTTCCTTTTTGGTTAAGCATAAGTGGCCACTCTAATTGCTGAAGTTTTGCAGTGTGAACTCATGTTTGAAAATGACAACATTTTTTATGTACAAGACATCTGCTCCTAAGTGATCTTCTTCCTGGCTTCTTTGTAGTTCAGTTCCAAGAAAAAAAAATTAAACATATGATTAGGTTTAAAATAAGGAATTATGACTTGTGTTGCATAGAGATATCTAACTTTTTTCCCTATGGTGAACAGAATTAAGGTATTTGTATACTGTATTTAAAAAATGCAGCATCCGTTTGCCCAGGAAAAAAATAGGCCTATTGTAATACTGTATCCTCTGGAAAGCAAAGCTTCTGTCAAGCCACATTCACCTTTCTTTCATCTCTCTTTAAAACTATTTTATATCCACCACAATTTTAAAACCAGAAGAAATGATGGAACTTTTCATATGCTTTTATTTTTAGCAGAGAATGTTGAAAGCATATCTATATTTAGTGGGACTTTTAAGGGCTGAAGGTGGCAAAGTGAGAGTTCAGACCAGAGAAAGTCATTGTATAAACACTGATCAGATCCACTATAATTCATGTTTGGGGGAAAAGCAATTAACAATCAGCTAACAGGAAACAACTGGAAAAAAGGCATAAAGCTGGGGTTATAGGGTTTGCAGCAGGCCAATCTTCTACTCATATATGGATTCTTTGCCAGCTTCTAGAAAAATAGTGATTAATAGCCATGCCTGGCCCAAATTCTGGTACAAATACTGTTTAAATTTAGTAAATCAAGTTAAATCTAACACTAGATGAATGTCAGGTTCATATGTCATTAGCAAAGATCCTGCACATGCACATACAAAATAAATCTGACAAATCACTCAAAAGCAAACATATATTTTAATTTTCACAAAACAGAATAAATTGGTATTTTAAGTCTTCAGGTGAGGCATATTTCTGGCTTTGGGAAAGGGGATAAATTAAAAAATGGGATCCAGCCATAATAGAATTCCTTTCTTAAAATCCAAATATATACATACTGAGCAGGTGTCCAATGCGACAATGCTGAACTGGCTGCTGTTTGATGGCTGAGGTGCCTCACGCTGGACTTACAGTGAAGCCACAGGAGATGCTCCCCTCCTTCCATGATTCAGTGTAGCTGTTCGATGAAATGCATTGACCCAGTAACCTTGCATTGGGGCCTTAACTCTAAAGAGTCTAATTTTTATTAATAAGTGAAAATGGTGGGAGTTTTTTTTTTTTTAAGTAAACAAAAGCCAGCTTTTGTAAATTTTCACAAAATCCCTGATGACCCAAGAAGCACTTCAAAAAAAATGAAATAGAAATAATAAGACTTGAGGAGGGTCACCCCACTGCCCTGATATTAGCAGACTGTCTTGGCTTAGCTTGGCAAAGGATCAGAAAGGCTGAATACTTTCATGGGATGCGTTTCCTGTTAAGTGCTTTGTATCTTTATGGACCGTCAGGGAGAAACAGACTGAGACAGATAGGCAATCCAAGGAGACATTCCATTTTGCTGAATTAGTTCCTGATGAATATGAAATCAAAATGGTATTTATGTAATCATTACATTTTATCCCACCCTAGAATTTATTTGACCATTTGTTCACTGGTGACTTAGAGCATTTTATTAGTGATTTGTCACTCCAGCAATGCTATAAATCTGTAGGGAGGAAATCGTTTATTTCATTTGTATCCCAGTCCATAATATCAGTGGCTACCATTCAAAATGCAATCAGCCAAACAACAAATTCAAGTTGCAACTAGGAGACAGCCACTTAAAAGCTGATCATGCTAGTAATTTGTTTAAATTTTATAAAGCCTGGTCTACCCAGTGACTCAGAGTGAATAATACTCTGAAATGCACATAGCCAAAGTAACTCACATATTTAACCATTTTACAACTAAAGCAAGAACGGTCAGTGTGGCTCTCCAGATGGTAGTGACCTTCAATTTCTAGTGCCTTAACTAAGATGGCAGATGGTGAGTGATACAGTATTTTAATTCAGCAGTATAGGGAGGCCCATTGGTTGCCCATTTCTGCAGTTCAGTCATTGACATGCTTCTTTAAAAATGTTGTAGATACTTTCATGGGCCTTTAGACTGGGGCAGCATTTTTCAGTCTGGGAGGCCACAAATTCATCTTGCTAACCATCTTGTGGGCCACAGGAGGTCTTCAGGTAATGAGATGGTGATGTCACCAGTTTTTTCAGAGGAGTGAGGAATTATTTTTGCTGTATGAATGGAGGAGAATATATGTTGCACAGGGGTGGGATGGGGTGGGGTGGAGTAGATACTTCTCTGTTACAGATATTTTCACTTCCCATCTGTTTGCTGCTTTTAAAGGAGAGTCTCCTTTACTTTCAGTCAATGCTAAGACATTCTCCCTTCCAATATACAGATAATTAATTGGATGAGAAAAACAAAACAAAACACATTTTGTCTTCCTATCAAGTAAATACAATATATCTGAGCCACAAAATCCAGAACTGGTCAGCGCAGAATCAACCTGTGGTGTGATGTAGCTTGAAAGCCATGACGGATGTGACACTGCTGTGCCAATGCAGATATACTATCCTTATTACTTGATGTCACCAATTATGATGTTGTAGACTTGTGAATTATATGTTTATTTGCTAACTTAGCCATTCATGGGATGGGGCCATAAAGAGCTTTGTTTTTGTCACAAAAGTGTGGGTTGAGTAAATGAGATAATTTAGGTGTGTCCTTAGAAAAGCATGTAACTTAATCTTCTACCATGTGATATGCTTGGGTCAGTAAAGATGTGTTTTCATTTTAACTCCACTTCCCATTAATCCTCTTCCTCTTCCTCCATTTCCTCATCTGAATGATCCTCATTTTTCAAAGGGTCACTGAATTCAAAGTTTCCTTCAATGTCCAGCACTTGCAGATGCTTCAGTCTTTGGAAGGTGCTTTCTTTCACAGCACTGAACGCAATCTTGTTAAACCTTGAAATTTAAAGGAAAGAAAATGAGTAGAATTACCTCCAAATACTGTATTACAATGTCCTTCCCTGTCTGGTAAATCCTAGACTAAGAGGAGGATTCTTTACCACAGAATGGCCTTTTATAAGGAGAAAGGAGGTTAGTCTGTATTTCCATTTTTTGCTCACATTTCAGTGTTTCGATTTCATTTCCTCCTATCCTATCTTTCTTCATTCACGATGTCTTACAATTTCAGGAGATTTCTGTATGCATAAAGGTAGAAAGGTCTGTATACCTGACAAGGATTCATAAGCACAACAGATGCACAATTTCCTGTCCATATGCAATTAGCACACATAATGAAACATGCTTGAAGTATAGAGTTCATATATAAAGAAAAATATATTTTTTACGTTTGTGAAGCCATTAATATTTTTCTGAGAGTCTTTTTCCTGGCTACAGACCTGAGATAAATTCCCTTTATATTGGGGGTGGAGTCAAAAGCATCCTCTGGCACAGTGCTGATCTTGTTGCTCTGAAGATACAGATATTCAAGAGATTCTGGTAAACCAGATGGAATGGAAGTCAGATGATTGGCAGCCATGTCCAGTATCTGGAAAAGGATCCACAAGAGAATATTAATTTAAATAACTAACAAAAGTCGTTCTGATGCTTTGAAAAGGATAAATTGCTATAAGCATCTTCAGAAGACCAAAAAAAAAAAAACCATTGTTAGTAGTGGAAGAAAAAAAGAGATCAAGGAGAGAATGGATATTTTTGGCTCTGGTCTCTCTCAATCTGTCTCTCACACACACACAACTTCCTTCAGGTCTGCCCAGTATACAGGACAGGAAAAAAATGTTTGCCCATTCCGAATAAGTTTTAGGCGCTATTTCTGAAACTGCAAAACTCCAGGCAACATCTAGATGGCAACAAGGAGTTTGAGTTCCTATATCTCTTTCCTGCCAACTAGTGATCATCCAGATTTTGCAGCCCAAATATAGTAGACTTTCCCAGCCCTAACTGAAATCACAGAAGTTAAACTAGGAACTTCTGTATTTTAAACAAGTACCCTGCCACTGTCCCTCAGAGATGCTACTATTTAAAAGAATCTTTCATAAATATTGAATTAATTGAAGTATTAATTAAAAGATTCTGTTTTTCTTTAGTTCAGGCTGGCCAACGCTAATTCTTCAAATGACTATTTTGGAATGAGACAATCAGCAGACTAAAAAGATAATCAGCTTTCATAAAAAACTATTCAATATTTTGGTTTTGGTTTTGGGAAAATAGAACTGGGAATCAACTACATTTTGACATTTCATACATTTCAGTATGCCAGTTGATCATTTTGGCCTTAAGTCCCAGCTAAAGCAAACAAAAGCAATCAAAGGGGAAAATAAAAAATAAGAAAGGTCATGGAAAATACTGAAACCCGTATTCATTTATTTGCTATTTTTAGCCTATTTCCTCCAAGGCTGATAATAAAGTATGTGTCTATTAAATAACCACTTTGATTTTTAAAAAAAGTTGAAAAGCCTACAGCAGTGTTTGTTCTTTTCAACTGAACTATTAGTACACAGTTTAACAACACAGTTACCATCATAAAATGCATGTCAAAGCTGACTTTGCTTCCTTTTTAATACCATTTATAGCAAACTGAAAAATTGATTCAAAAGGCTGACTTTGCTTCATTTTAATACAACTTCTAGAAAATTGAAAGATTGGTTCAAAATCCTGAAAAGGCCTTTTCAAAAAATCCTTTTTAGCTATATTTTTGAGGGATTAGACAATGCCTGATGTTTCTGTATTAAACAAGTATGTTGCAATTAAAAAAACTGCTGCATTTTTTCTAATCAATAGTTTTGCCACCAGTTTTTACATTTCTTTCATGCAGAAACACTTGGTTTCACCTTTTTGGGGTGGGGTGGGGGGTTTGGTGCCTTCAAGTGAGTTTTTGGTTGTTAGTCCTGGCAGTTGCTTGGACTAGTCCCTGCAGTTTTCTTGGCAAGGTTTTTCAGAAATGGTTTGCCATTGCCTCCTTCCTAGGGCTGAGAGAGAGGGACTGGTCCAAGGTCAGCCAGCTGGCTTCATGCCTAAGGTGGGACTGAACACATGGTCTCCTGGTTTCTAGCCTGGTGCTTTAACTACAACATCGAACAGGCTCTCTAGTTTCACCTAATCTTCCAAAATGCTGTCCCCTTCCATAATTTTGGAAAAGTGGAGTAGCACACACAATTTCCAAGGGACAAACTGAACTTCGGGGAAGAATAGCATTTAAAGTGCATAGAAACGGCCAGTTCTTGGACTGTACACATCTTATCTAGGGCTGCCATCACTGTCTCCTCCTCCTCCTCTTCCTCCTCCTCCTCCTTTGCATTCATAATTTTTTGCCCATCCTTTTAATCTCAAGAGATTTATGTAATATGGCTAGTAATTTCCCTTCTATACACATGGACCCTAGAAAGTTCCAATGTGAACTGGATACTGTTTTCCAGGCTTATTGTTTATATTTCCAGAAAGGGTCCTCCCACATCAAGTAACCTACTTTGCCTAAACCATCAGTCCCAATGGAGGAATTTGCCTCAGGAAAGGATGATGTGGTAGACTTGTGTGCTACAACCACCTTTTCACCCTCTCCCCCTCTGGTGTTAGTGGATAACAGATAGAAAGCCCTTCTAGGTATGGATTTGGCTGAGGGAGAGGGATCTGGCAGGATACCCAAAGAGGAGGATGGGATAAAGTACTCCCAAAGGTGAACCAAGGGAGTCCCCCCAAACATTACATGCCAGGCACAACAATTTGCTAGAGGGAATCATTATTTTAAAACTGGAATAGGTAAAGTCAAATTTGCATTGTCTGCTTTGTAGACTGGGGTTGAGTCAAAGGCAGGGTCATGAGGACTTTAGAAGTGCATAGCAGGGCATGTTTATTCCATGGTTAGAGGATGGGAATGTATTTGATTCCTTAATATTCCACCCATCACAATACGTTTGGTGCTTCTTTATTTCCCCTCCTTTTTCCTGTCCATACTGCCCCCAGAGCTTCAGATTCGGTGGTGAGCTAACATAATATTTACTTTTTCATATTGCATGGACTTGCATCATGCGTTCATTTTGTATCTATTCTTGCTGTAGTTTTCTCAGAATATGCAGCTTAATTTTTCTCCCATAGATCTGTCTATATGAAAGAGTTATCTACTATTTTTGACATTGTTCATATGCATCTCTAGATCTAGATCTCTGTCTGTTTGTACCTTAAGACTGGTGAGATCTCTCCATGATCCACTGTGAATTAAACTGATTTTCAATTTATTGGCGCTCAGATACAGCTCCTGTAGCTTTGACATTCCAGAAAGTGTGCCCTTGGGAATGGAGCTGATCAAATTCATTTTTAACTTCAGGCTTTGCAAATTCTTGGGGAAGCCATAAGGCATGGTGCGGAGTTTATTGCCAGAAAGATCCAAGGACTTCAGTAGCCTCAGTTTACGGAAAGACTCCCGATGAATCTTTGAGCTAGTGATCTTATTGTAACTCAGGTTTAGTTCCTCCATTAAATAAGTGGTAGCAAAATCCTCCCTGCCAATTTCTGAAATCTGGTTGTAGAGAATCATAAGAGTTTTTACTCGTCTGGGCAGCCCGCTGGGGATTTTTTCCAGCAGGTTGTTATATAAATGAACAGTGTGCAATTTCTTCAGACCATGAAAAGCCAGTGGATGGATCTCGTGGGCCTTCAGTTTGTTATTGTGAAGCAGTAGATATTCCAGGTTCTTGATTTGGGTCAAGACATCATTGCCAATTGATCTTATTGAATTCTTCTCTAAGTGGAGAAGAACAATGTTTCGAGGCAAACCAGGTGGGATCTGGGAAAGATTATTGCTAGACAAATCCAGGTACTCAAGGCTTGAGAGTTTCCTTGGGGGAAAAAAAAGACACAGTGTAGCAAAACACACAGTGTTAGTAGAGGGGAAATGAATAGGCTTTGCCTCTGTTCCTTACCACTGCAACTACACCTGCAACTCTGTCAGACCTTTTTTTCATATATACACAAAAACTGCTGCTACTTATACAATTTATGATTAATAAACCCCAGTTCAAGAATCTGCACCTGATGGTTGCACCTTTAAAGCAACACGAGCAGGGTGTGGTCGAAAAGGTCAAGCTGGCAGCCATGACAATGTGATCAGAATTCCTGGGCGGAGCTTCAGTCACACCATCATGGCTGTCAGCTTGACATCTTTGACCACACTCTGCAGACACTCTTGAAGACAAGTCTCCTTTTGTGAGCTGCCCTTTTAATCTCCTTAAGAATGAGGTAAGTATTTAACCAAGCTGTTCAAGACTAAATGAACTCGTTTACAGTTTAGTGCCTTAATCAAAGGATCAGACAAAAAGGAGTCAGAAATAGCCAGTAATGTCTTACAATAAAAGAAAACAAACTTGGATGTCTAAACCATTAATGCTTGAGTATGCTTCAAGTCCTTGAGACTTTACAGTGTCGTCTGGCCTTTACCCTTTGCCAACTGCTTGAAAACAAAGTGGGTTTTACAAAATAGGGATTTCTAGAGATTAGAGGTAGAAGTAGGTGCTGTGCAGGGGAATTCAACATGACCAGTCAAAAATCATGAAAGTTTTGGTCAGGTGCTTTCCAGGTAATTCCTACAGTATCTTGTTTTTTGCAGAAGGCAAGGTAGCCTTAGATGTGGATGGTAAATTCTGGCCTGATTGTTACCGGTGTGGTCTTTGTTTAAAGAAATGGTGTTGCAAGAGGGAGCAGAAGGTGGATTGCCACATAATCCACACTCTATTGAGTGAACAATTAAACTTTGGTCCCTGCTTTGTAGTCAAGCCAGCAAGCGCTTTGATAAGGTAGTTCCTAACCCTATATGTGAACAAATAGCAGACATCTATTTCTTATTCCCTTCTTGAGCAGGAAGGAAAGAAAAAAATCAGAAAGAGAAAAATACAGGTGAAAGACATTGGCCAGTTCTGTCTGCAGCCTAAACTGCTTGTCTCCATGGTGCTCTTCTGTATTTCTAAGCCAACTTCAGAAGTTCCACTCTGGATTGAAGTGGGTTGGCAGTGGAGCCAGCTGGTGCTCACTTTGGATTATGGCCATTACAAGACCGAATTGGTTGTTTGTCTCTTTCATGCTCTTTCCATCTGTGCAGGGAAGGCAAGCCTCACTGGCTGGTTCCTGGGTGGACTGGTCTGCAGCGCCTGCCTGTTCCTTTTAGGGACTGTCCCCTCCTCACTAGTCCTTGGACCTTTCCTTTGCTTCCCCAGATGTTTGTCCACAGGGATGCCTTCACCACCACCACCACCCCCTTCCCATATTATCTCCTTTGGCAGACCCTTTCTTTTTTTTCTTAGGGTACCCTCCAAAGCTGCAATAATCAATGCTATAGGAAACTAGTTGTTCTTTCATTCCTACTGTAGGTCCATGGAAACTGTAGGAACGAAGAACTGAAGCTTAGTTTCATAGAAACAAAATTGCATAGTTCCTACTTGCAACTTTAAGGATTTTTTTAAGGGAAGAGAAGGGAAAGTTTGCAGTATTGTGCTGTGGACAGGGGGTGGGAAAGCAAGGGGAGCATGCTTCACTCAGCTGGGGCATAAACTGACAGGTTGTCTGCTGGGGGCATAACAGTTGAACGGAGCATGAGTTTCTAGGGTTGAGGATAATTCATTGATTTAATGGACCATCATTGGATCAATTGTAATATTATTCTTTTTTTAAAAACCATCTGCAGAGGAACACAGAACATAATAAACAGGGCAAAATGGCTCTCAGGGCAGTGACCAGCCACTGGAGGGGAGAGATGAGCCAGGCACAGTAGCCCATTGGAGTTGGGGCTGCTACTAGAACAGCACAAACTCCTGAAGGCCATCCACTCTGAAGGGCTTAAGACAGCTTGGGTTGGAAAACAGCACTTTTGAATCGAAGCTAGAAAACCCAAGCATGGGGTGCATTTGCAGTGGGCCAGGAAGTTGAAGGAGAATGACATCACCTGTTTCTGCACTCAGGAAGCGGTGAATGGATCTCCCCGCTCTCTGGACCACAGTTCCACAATAGAATCCATTTCTGGGTGGATCTGATTTCCTGTCTATCCCCAGTTACTGTATAACTAGGGATACCTGTGGCATGCTGATAAATATTTAAGAACCAGCTCTGCTGGCGCTATTGCTGATGCCATGCTGTGCTGCACCATTAGCAATGTAATAGTTGATTGGTGAGCCAGGCATAGTGGCTCAGCTCTGCTTTCAACCAATTTGCAAATTCCAGAAATTGTAACAAATGGTTCTTGCAAGCTCGTACAAGCCGGCTTCAGCACACCACTGTATATAAGTATTTATTTTATTATCTTGTTGCATTAATGCTTAGGTCTAAACCTTGGGTCCTAAAGCAGCTTAAAGATCCATCACAAGATACAATATTAATATATTTGTTTAGGTGTATATGATTAGACTTAAAGGGGACATTGTGAAACTGTGTTCCTTCTCTCTCATGTATCATAATAAAAGGTTCCTAGAACTTTCTATCAAAGCCATGAAATCAGGAACTGATGCTAGAAGTTTGGAGGGACAGGAAGTGGGGAGAATGCATTAGGAACTGAGGAGTGGGTATTTTCCATTTTTGGACTTGCTCAGAATATGTACTATATGGCTTCTTTATTTTTTCAGAAATAAACTGCTTGGTTTCAAGAGGAAGCAAGAGGAAGCATGCTCATCTCTAGTAAATTTGGGGAGCATTACATTGTATAAAACTGGAATTGTCTGTGTTAAGATAATGTTACTCTTAAAGTACTGATAGGTTGTTAAACAAGTAGAAGTGCATTTGGACATAAGGCTTTAATCAGAAACATTTTCTTGTGGAAGTAAGTCACACTGGATTTATTCCCAAGTAAGTATTTATCAGATGGTACCATTTGTAAATGGAGCAGGAACCTTTGCCACAGGATTACCATTTTTATTATAAGATCACAGGGAAATACAACCATGTAAAGCAACCCACTGCTATTATACACTAAATGTGCATCCATTAAAGACTAATAAACTCACCAGAAGGTTTCATTGTCCATCCCCTCATTGGTTAATTTATTGTTCTGCAAATATATCTCTCGAAGTTCTGACAGCTCACTGAAAGCTCCTGCAGGAATCTTCTCCAATTTGTTATTCTGTCCAGAAACACAGGGAGCAGAGTGTGAGTCTCTTCACTGAAGCTTCAGTCCTCAAAGTATAAGAGGGATATTCTAGGGTGGTTGCAGTGAAAGGAAGAAGCCAGAGAAAAGGCCAGATATGACCTGAAGGCAATGTTCCCCACCCTGGTGACCTCCAGTGAACATAAGAAGACAGTCTCCAGAATCCCCTGCAAGCCTTTTTCTGTTCTAATGCTTATACTGTATCATTCCCAAGGGTATGTGCAAGAAGGGAATCAAAAAAGTCAAGATGGCAGCACAACCATGTGATCAAATGCCCATCTCTTTTTATGTGCATTAAAAAGGGTGAGGCTTCAATCACATGGTTGTGGCTGCCATTTTGATTTTTTGACCTCCCTGTGGACACCCCTGAACATTCCACAGGAACTCTGCTGGGCTGCTTCCCTTACTGTATTTTCATAGTAAATATTATTATTTTATTAATTGTTAGGACACTTTTCCTCCAAAAATCTGCAAGCTGTACAAGCACATAAAAATACAAAACTCCAAACCTCAAAATACAACATTACCAACTTACGAAAACAACAAACCATTAAAACTATGTAACACTTATTTAACATCTACAGCAGCCTGCTAAACCAAAAGCATGGATGATGAAGAACTTCTTAAGCAGCAAAACTGACAATAGTCTGACTCACGTCCCGAGATTTGTTTGGCAGTATGCTGGTATAGTCTGGCTGCTGCCTAAAATGCAACTTTGGTGATGCCATTGCTTTTTAAAGACTCTATCAGGTGGGTTTCTTTTTTAATTGTTTTATGGATTGTAATGTTATGAACTCTTGAGCAGACAGTATGATCCATAAATGCAATAGCTAGACAATAGATGTATTCAAGGGCTAAGAATCCAAAAGAATCAGCTTTATAAAGGCTGAGGTTCTGACATGCCATGGAACTGATATCCTACCTTAAGATGTAGCTTATACAATGCTCGTGGAAGATTCTTTGGAACATATTTTAAGAAGTTGCTGGACATGATCAAGACCTCCACATTGTCAGAACCATTGAACATGCTTTCTGGTAATCCGGCATCATCAAGCTTATTGTTGTGAAGGTAGACTGACCTAACAGAAGAAAACAGTGGAGACAGTGGGGTGGGGAGACAGAGAGAGAGGGCTGGGAATCAATGTTGTACTGCTTGATTGCTATCTCATAAAGTTTTCTGAAAATGAGCACTCTTTTAAGTCAGCTACTCAATCTAGTTATGTCAGAAATATATATCAACTACTCAGTCTAATGTCAGCAGCTATCTACTCTCTTCCCAGCAGATATAATTCTGTCTATCTCTATCATGCTCCCACTTGCCTATTTTAAAGCGAAAGTACTCCAATTATTGCAATGTTCCTTCATAGGGAAGTTGCTCTCAAATCAGCTCAGTTGCCCTTTGCTTTTCTTTTTCTAGCTCTAGCCTAAGGGCCTTTTCCTACTTGCCCCTAACTCTGGGACCAACATGCCCTGACAACCATTTTCCTCTCTGTTTTCCCCATGATAATTGCCTTCATTGCATCTCCACCCAGGAATGAGAAGACAGCCTGATGTTGTCCTTAACCGTACTGGTGTTGAAATAGCATTTTCCTCTTACTCCAACACCATCCAAATTCATAAAATCTATTTGGGTTTGTCACCCATAAACCTTTATCTCATGGAGGAAAGCCAGACAGTGACTAGGAAGAGGCCAACAGTGCAGGACAGGGATCAGCCATGAGGACAGTCTCAAGCCCATCACAAATGGAGAAATATTTCCCTTGAAAAATCGTCCAATCTGAAATTAATCTCAGCAATATATTAGGGAATTATATTTCTATGTTGTTTTCACCAGGGCATCATCTGTGTTTTGAGCCTTGCAATTGGATAAAAAAAGGGTGAATGGGCCAAGTGCATGGGAATCAAATGTTACCACAGGGATTAAATAACAAATTCTTTATTGACACAAAACTATTCTCTGAATAGTAAAACAATCAGAGAAGAGGTTAGGTCTCAGCCTTCCCAGTGAAATATGTGATAATCCAGATGCTTGTCTGTGAAAATGACAGAAGACTGCAGTTCGATTTGGGGCAGTTTGACACAAAGGGCAAGCTCCGTGGCAGACCTGCAGAAATCCCAGGTTCAATCACAGCATCTTCTGGCAACAGAAGGCAAGACTCCTTAATGAGCCATGGCCAGTGAAAGTAAGCAATGCCAAGATGGAGAGATTTCTATTCTAACTTGGGCTAGAGAATTTCGTACATTTAGAGATGTGGAGAGAGGGAGGGCTGAGTTTTTAGATTCTATTCAACTACAGACATTTTTGAACACTGTAGCCTTCCTGGATATATGATGTGGAAACCATTGAAGCATTTAAGCCAAAGGTCGGTACTGTGTCATCCATTAACTCCAAAGCTTAAACAAAATAATTGTGAAAACAAATGTAATTAAATTTGCAAGATTTCTGTGTTCTTGCAGGACATCTTGCAAGATGTCAGCCCTTCTAACTTTTTATAATATTTTATATATTTATTTATAGGGCCAACATCATGGTTTGAAAGCCTGAAAAGCCTGAAAAGTTTCTGACCCCTGATTTTAGTTTATTCTTCCATCTAGCCTTTATTGGCATATTTGTATAACAAACAAATATTGCAGCATATCTCTAAACCCTCTTCCCTAAGGGAATCCAACATGAATGATTACTATGTGTTCCTGGAACTTCTCACTACCCAGAGAAACAGAGTGCATGTAACTATGTCGCCTTTCTTATTTGAGCTACCTTATTCTTGCTGTTGACATACCTCCTTTGAGAAAGAAGCTAAGAGAAAAAATAGCATCCCATGTGCACAATAAATCTCAGAACTAGTGAATTTTTAACTAACAGGCATGTTTTCTGAGAGATTTTCTAGTGCAGTTGCGATCTGCATGCAAGCGAGCAACATCCAGTAAAGATGCCAACATGAATTTGTTTGTTTGGATCTCTTCCCCATGAAACAATTCTCTTCTTACAAACATTCATTGTATGGCTTTACATGCTGCTGCTGCTGCTGTTGCTGATGATGATCCATCTGCTGCAGAAACAGGGCGCATTAAACCTCCTTCCTGTTCCTCAAAGCCTCTTTCTTTACCTCAGGTTTGGTTTTTGTCCAAACGTGAGATCATAAATTTTAGTGAGATTATTGGCAGCAAAATCCACACTGATCAAAGTCCGTGGAAGGAATTTTGGAGCCACTGTGAGCTGGAAAAAAAGAGAAAAGGCCAGAGAAGGAAATCATTGTCAGAGACATAAAGGCTTCAAACACACTTACCCTTGGGTTTACTTCAGAATATTAAATGGCTATTTGTTCCAGCGAGGAAAGGTATTATGGCAGATACCATAAAATTGCTTCATAGTAAGTTGCTTCTGCCTTCCTCCCTAATACCAATAAATACCAGTGTAGAAAGCAGTTAAGCTTTCACATCAATATACTTGGAAAGACAGGGTTATTGGGCTCAACGGGTATATGGGAAGGACAGACTGAGAGAGCAAATATATCTGGCGCTGTTTGTATGTCCTTCCAGAAATAGTTCAGTCTCCTTTCTTGGGCAAGTCCCAGGCAAACCAAGAGCTGAGGACCAAATCCTCCTAAACCATTAATTCCACAATCCCCAGCAGAATGCAATATAAATAGGCCATAATTTTTTGCAGAAGGCTGCTTCTCAGGCTACCTTTGAGAACCACTGAGGTACTTCTGACTCTGTTGTAACCCTGTGGGGATGTAATGGGAAAACTATGATCACTATTTAACATTTATTTTGAGCCAGTTGTGCACTGAACATTGGATGGGGGGGGGGGCACCAATAATGAAACCAATGTATTACATATAGAGAACGGGCTTCTGGTATTATTTTGCTTACTAAGATTTGTTTTGAAAAAGAAAAGAAATGTGTATTCTTCTAATATGGTTTCGTTGCAAAATCCCTAAGTGTAGAACTTGTTGATTTTAACTTGTTGGTTTTAAACATCTGCAAAGTATTTCATGGGGAAATATTATTTAATTAACTTCAAATATGCATCCAACAATCACTGCAGATTGAGGGACTGTGTTCATTGATGGAAATAAAATTAGGAAATGGGAACAGGACAGTCCAGTGAGAACTGAGCATGCTCAGTGAGCATAAGCTACACTAGGGCTCAGAACGCTAATCTGGAGAATTTCACCAAGCAACATTTTGCTGCTGGCTCCACGTCAGTCAGAGAAAGGCCAATGAGACCAACTCAAGCCATTTAGGCCATTAAGTTCAAGGTTCAGTTTCGGAATCCAAATTAAAATACAGTGGAACCTCGGTTTATGAACGCTTCTGTTAACGAACTTTTCAGGTTACGAGCAGCTCCGGCCACAAAATTTTGCTTCGGTTTGCGAACTCTGCCTCGGGGTACGAACAGGATACGCAGCCATTTTCCCTCCCGTGACACGGTCTGCGGCCATTTTTCTGCCCCTGTCACGTGGTCCGCAGCCATTTTCCGCCCCTGACACGTGGTCCGTGGCCATTTTTCCACCCCTGACACGTGGTCCGCGGCCATTTTTCCGCCCCTGACACGTGGTCCGCGGCCATTTTTCCGCCCCTGACACGTGGTCGTAG